TGGCGCTAGTGTATCGTCGACTTGAGCGCGTAACAGTATCTAAGATGAAGTACCAATGAGCCAACCATAAAGCTCAAGGAAACGACAACCGATGGTAAAGAAAGTTCTTTTTTACCATCGGTTCTTTTTTATAGAATATGAATGACAAACGAGCACACAGTCCACTTGGTGGTAAAGTTCAGATACGTTGCCATCCCTGAGGACTAAGATGGAATGCCTCGTTCCCAGTAAAAAGGGTCTCCGGTTCTCTACACTTATCATACGAAACACAGCAGCATTTAACTGCTATTTTACGCTGATATTCTGTGAGAGCGTGGTCCTTCCCCGATCGAGCCGACCCATTCGTTCGTGCTACAACCATACAAATATAGCGGCAGCATGGATCTACCACGTATAATATACGGGTTATCGAATGATAGCCCCGTACCGGTAAGCGAAGTGTGTGGCGGCCCCTCCTCTGGATAGAGTGACGATCTGGTAAGAAATTCAAGAAGTCGATGGATGATAATGACTCAGGACCGTACTTTGTGGCATTCCTTGGAGGAGGCCTATGTTCAGCAGTGGACTTGTGAAGGACTGTAATGGAAACAAATGAATATCACACTTATAATATATCAGTGGTAACTTTGAAGATACCGTGCCGTGCCGTAGATATAGTGCCGTGTAGTGGCGGGTGCCGTGTAGGGGCGGTTGAGAATATCCACTACCCCATATCTTCCCGTGGATGTCGTAAGAGGCGACAGAGGGAGACAGGCAGGAGATGGGCAGCAGCATCTTTCTGATAACAACTGTGTTATAATAAAAAACTGCGGTTGCCAACCCGCTCGCCAAGCGTGGCAACTATGGCAAATATCCCCCCGATGAGTAACGACGGAAACAGACGGCCACCAGTCCCCGGCGGCCCCGCTATTCCTGGCTACGGGGCCACCATGGTAACGGCGGGGCAGGGGGTGCTAAGAATATCCGGTGGAGGTTCGGTTGCCACCTACGACGACTCGACCTGGCAACATATAATGCACGCACCCTGAGGACTGACGAGAAGACTGGAGCTGGAAAAAGAGGTAGACAAGTTGCGCTGGCATATTATTGGATTATCCGAGGTCCGAAGAGAGGGGGAGGACACGGCAATCCAAGAGTCCGGCAACTTGTTCTATCACCGGGAGGGCGACCATCTGTCCCAAGGAGGATTTATCGTCCACAAGTCTCTCGTCAACAACGTTGTAAAGATTGGGAGTGTGTCGATGAGGTTCGCGTACCTGATGCTCAGAATCACCAAACGGTATTCGGTGAAGGTCATACAGGTTTACGCACCAACCTCGGCACATCCTGATGAGGAGGTGGAGGAAATGTATGAGGATATTTCCAGAGTCATGCGTACCTCCAAAACCCACTATACGGTGTTGATAGGAGACTTCAACGCAAAACTAGGCACAAGAGAAAGCAGTGAGCTGAAGGTAGGGAAATTTGGAGTAGGGCAACGGAACCGAAGGGGCCAGCAGCTGGCAGACTTTATGGAGAAAGAGGGACTCTTTATGACGAACTCTTTCTTCCAGAAGCGGCCCCACAGGAAGTGGACCTGGTCGAGCCTCGACGGTTCGACAAAAAACGAGATTGACTTCATTATGACGACCAGACGTCAACTGTTCAGTGATGTCTCAGTGATTGCAAGGGTGAAAACTGGCAGCGATCATCGAATGGTTAGAGGCACACTGAACCTAAACGTTAAGTTGGAGAGGTCCCGTCTAATGAAGTCAACGCTCCGTCCCCCCTCGTGCTCTAATCCAGAATCCCGAAACCTTTCAGCTCGAGTTACAAAACCGCTTTCAGTGCCTAGAAGATTGCAATGCAGTGGACGATATGAATGACAAGCTCGTGGAAACTGTCCATGCGGTCGGAGCTAAGTTCTGCAAGACCCGCCGCAGAAGAACACAAAAACTCTCCGATAACACTCTTAATCTCATGGCTGTTAGACGGGAGATGAGGCTGCAATCGTCAACAGATTTGACAGCATACAGGCAGTGGCGAAGCTAGGGCTCAAAACTAGGGCAAGCCCAAGATATGGTTTTGTTGTTTTTAGCAGTTTAATAAAAATACACCAATCTTGACCTATCTCCACTCTTTAGTTTCACATTCAGTGCTGTCAAGGACGTGTTTAACAAAGCACACAGAAAGCAATCTACCGCTAGATAGATTGTATGACATAATATGCAATTGCACACCTTCGGTGGTTTTGAAAAGAGCCGTTTGGGTTTGCTTGAGATATTTACAAACAATACAATACATGAACAAAAGAAAAGCATGAACAAAGTACAAACAAACTATGTACAAAGTTAAAAAAGGAACGCCTGGCAGATGTGAAACTTAATTAAGTTTAAGTTATATGCATAAAAGAACAGATTACAACAGGAATTAGATAGTTATAATGAGAAGATAAAGCTTTGCTAATTTTTTACCATAAAATAATGAATATTTATTATAATTATAATTATTCATTTTCAATTCATAATAAACCGTACAAAATGATATTTTTAAACTCATATATCACGATAAATTAGCCGATAGCGTATTTGTGCCATCTAGCGTAATCTTTAGGTACCATCGTGAGAATCAACCAATTTTCGTTCGATAAAATGACTTTACCTATAGAATTAAGTAGATGGCGCCATTAAAATTTTATATACTGAAAAGTAGACAGAGAAACCTAACTGGAAATAACTAAAGGGAGTACTATTCTTTAAAAACCTTAATACATTCTTCTGTATTCTTTTGATTTATTTAATTAAAATTTGGCCTTTACGTTAAAAAAAGATTGTAACACTTATTTCCTCAAAAATTAAACCTAGATTTCATACTTTATGCTGCTGTTCAAATAGATATTATTAATTCGTATGGTAATATAAATATTGAGTTATTAAACCTTTAAATGCGCTTGACTTAATTAAACTTTAATACTAAAGAGTCCTGTACCTATATTTAAAGTATGAGGAAATATTTATTGAATATTAAATTTCATTTTTATGATGATTTTTACCTTTTCCTCGCCGATTAGCACTTCAACACACTTATATTCATCACAATAAACACCATTATCCTCCCATTTTCACTGAAAATCTTCGAAAAAAACAAACATAAACATTGAAATGTGAAGTGAACTTGCATGCGAGGGGCCCGCAACCACTTCACTAGTCGCTAACGCACTTCTAAACAACTTCATGGCAAAGCCAGGCTTGTTGGCTCAATAGTAATTGCTATATAAACATTTCGTAGTTATATTTCATTACAGAATATTTTGCCATAGGTTAGAAAGAGAGCGATCGTCTTCTCGAAAGCCCCGTAAAAAGCCCACGCGAGCAAGGGAGACAACTAATCGCTCTACCACTCACTAATGACAGCAGCATAACTCACTTTATGACAGCAGCGGTATCGCCACAGAGTACCTTTGTATAAACGTATCGATAAGGCAATACGAGTTCATCGGTCGACATGTGTCGAACAGTGGAGTGCGCGGGAAAATTGAAATAATTTGAAATAGTTTATGAGTTATTTTAATAGTTGATATTATTGATAGATATTATTGATTGATTCAGTTTTAATAAGGCAAGCCCGGCGTTTCGGCTTTTATGGAAGCTTCGCCACTGCATACAGGCAACTGAACAGACAGATCTCCAAATGCATGGGGCGAGACTTACGCAACTTTAATACTGCTCGTATTAAAGAAGCGATCGAGCGGAACCAGGGCTCCAAAGTCTTTGCCAGAGATCTGTCTGCCAGAAAGAGCCAACTGTCAAAGCTCAAGACTGAGTGTGGCAACATCGTTTCCGGGACACCTGAGATTCTGAGTGAGATTGAGAGGTTCTATGGGCAGCTGTACACATCGTCGTTGGAGCCACACGCAAGTGTGAGTAACGATCCAAGAGCAAGTCTTATCCGACATTATTCCTATAATATCCCGAACGTCAGTCTGAGCGAGATTAGAATGGCTCTCCACCAGCTTGAAAACGGCAAGGTCCCGGGCGAGGATGGAATTACAGCGGAGCTTCTGAAAGCGGGTGGAACTCCTTCAGAAGCTCTTCAATTCCGTCCTCCATGGTGGCACTACTCCGGAGGCGTGGAGCAGAAGCGCGGTGGTCTTGTTCACAACACATACAACGCTCTCTTGAAGAACTACAGACCGATTTCCCTTCTGAGCCGCGTCTACGTGCTGTTTTCGAGAGTCATTACGAATTTGATTCTTTGGGAACATCGTCTTGTCTGCCGTCACGTTAATAGCTACTCCGTAATTTTTAACATAATTAAATATTTCTAGTGGCCTAGACGGGTTAAAAACTCAACCAAAATGTAATAAATTGTTTAAATTTCATGTGACATTGATGGTGAACTGTTTCAACTTTGTTTATGGACGTAATATTGAAAAAAACATTATACGGTATTGTTGGTATTGAGTGAATTCACAAGAATTGAGTGAATAAAATTCAAGTTAAAATTACTTAAAAGTGTACTATCGTGAAATCGACTATTGTAATAAGTGTATAAAAAACGTTTTCTACTTAAATCAATAAACTAAGTGAAATAGTGATTAATGTAAATTAATAACTTTTTTAATAACTACCGCCAAACCTTTCGAATAAGTTAATCATATACGGACCATTTGTTTCGTTAGTTACTATTAACTCAACTTGGCTCATATGTCGCAACGTATGCTATAACGCATGACTCAAGTTCCGAACCCAGTGAAAAAAAATTTTATAATTAATTTTATCTATAATTTATTTTAGGCTTTATATAACTAAACTAATATTTTCCTATTTTGTGAGTGGAATTGTTGCATCTAGACAGTTACAAACGATTGATTTTCTTATTAAGTTTCGATAAAACTTTATTTTTTTTATTTTTGCCTTTTTTCTCGAACTGTCAGTGAACTTTATTTTAGTGCTTAGAAAATTTGTATTATTATTTTTTTTTATTTTTTTATTCTGATTATTGGTAAAGAACTAAAAAAAATGGCTGATCAAATATGTAAGGAATGTAATGACACAATCATTGATAGAGAGTTTTTGATTTGTTCCGACTGCGATGAATACTATCATTTGAAGTGTACAAATATTTCACCGAAATTATATTATTTAAAAAGTCCAATTAAAAGAAGACGATTCCAGTGTAAGTCATGTGTAAAAAAATTACAAGATAATGACTGCGTGCTAAATCAGTCCTCACCTCTAACTGAGAGCTTAGAAACGGCTACCAGAAATGTTACTACACGTAAGAAAATAATTACAAATAAAGTAGCCTCTAATTCATTTGGCTCCTTATCTGTTGATGAGAACTTTGAATACTCTTCCTTAACATCAACTCCAACACACGTGGACATAGGTGGAAGTAATCTGACTGATAAAAATACCAAGGATTGTATAAGCAAATTAAATGAAAAATTATGTGAACTACAAAGAAAACTTGATAATGCAGACAAGGAGATTGAAGACCTGATATCAGAAAACTATATATTAAAAAAAGAAATAGCCGAATTTAAGTCGAAACCTGAGAGATGTGTGTGTATATTATCATCTAAGATCAAGAACGTATCAAATACAAATAGATCACAAAGCATTAACGAAGTAGAATCAAACCTATTTAACAGTGCTGAAAATAAGGAAACCCCTAATAATATTGAAAGTAAAAACCATAATTCAACAATAAATCAAAAAGAACAACACAAGGTATGCGTAAATGAATATAAAAAAATTAATGGGGAAAAAAGTAAGCAATGCAGAACTGATGAACCGATACCCTTGAAGCACACTAGAAAGCTATGCATAATCAGCAGCAACAACAAAAATAATATAAAAGGCATTGCACAAGACTATTTCTCTAAAGATTTTGAATTCTGTCATTATATAAAAACAAATGCTGGTATATTAGATTTAATTCAAGGCCTTGACAAAAAACTGATTAATTACACTTTACAAGATTATTGTGTTGTTCTAATTGGAGATTATGACTTCAGGATGTCACAAGATTATAACAGACTAGTGGAGAGCTTATTGGTTAGGCAAACCATACAATGCATCACTCACACTAATATAGTAATTTGCATACCAACTTTTAGATGTGCTAAAGATACAAATATTTTTAATAGAAAGAGAAGACTATTTCTCTAAAGATTTTGAATTCTGTCATTATATACTCCGGAGGCGTGGAGCAGAAGCGCTGTGGTCTTGTTCTTTAAGAAAGGCGACAACACTCTCTTGAAGAACTACAGACCTATTTCCCTTCTGAGCCGCGGCTACGTGCTGTTTTCGAGAGTCATTACGAATCGTCTCGCACGCAGACTCGACGACTTCCAGCCTCCCGAACAAGCCGGTTTCCGAAAAGGATTCAGTACCATAGACCACATACATACCCTGTGGCAGATTGTACAGAAGACCGAAGAGTAGAATCTGCGACTTTGCCTGGCATATGTGGACTATGAGAAAGCCTTTGATTCCGTCGAAATTTGGGCGGTGCTAGAGTCCCTTCAGCGGTGCCAAGTTAACTGTCGGTATATCGAAGTGCTGAAGTGTTTGTACAGTAGGGCTACGATGGCTATCCGAGTACAGAACCAGAGTTCGAAACCTATCCAACTGCAGAGAGGTGTAAGACAGAGTGATGTTATATACCCAAAACTCTTCACCGCTGCGTAAGACGTTTTCAAGATACTGGACTGGAAAGGATACGGTATTAACATCAATGGCGAGTATATCACTCACCTTCGATTTGCCGACGATATAGTCCTTATGGCAGAATCGCTGGAGGACCTTAGCACTATGCCCAATGACCTCAATGGTGCCTCCCAACAGATAGGTCTTAAGATGAACGTGGACAAAACAAAGATCATGTTTAATGTCCATGTCACACATATGCCAGTAGTTGTTGGGAGCACTATGCTCGAAGTTGTTGACGAGTACGTTTACCTGGGACAAATAGTCCGACTAGGTAAGTCCAACTTCGACCGAGAGGTCAATCGACGGATTCAACTCGGCTGGGCAGCGTTCGGGAAATTACGACACATCTCGTCAGGTATACTTCAATCTCTGAAAACTAAAGTGTATAACCAGTGCGTGGTGCCAGTAATGACTTACGGATCTGAGACGTGTTCCTTCACTGCTGGCTGTATGAGGACGCTCAGCGAGCTATGGAGAGAGCTATGCTCGGAGTTTCTCTGCGTGATAGAGTCAGAAATGAGGATATCCGCAGTAAAACCAGAGTGACCGACATAGCCCAACGGATTAGTAAGCTGAAGTGGCAATGGGCTGGCCGTATAGCTCGAAGAACCGATAACCGATGGGGAAGAATGGTTCTCGAGTGGCAGCCTCGTACCGGTAGGCGTAGTGTAGGGTGCCCCCCACTAGATGGAGTGACGACCTGGTAAGACATGCAGGAAGTCGATGAATGCAGGTGGCTTAGGACCGTGCTTTGTGGCATTACTTGGGGGTGGCCTATGTTCAGCAGTGGACTTGTGAAGGGCTGTAATGATGAATGATGAACTTTGAAGATTTATTAATATGACTCTCAGACTAGTATTATTTTACCTTACGTTACCTGCGAATAATATTCCTGAGGTTTTTGTACCTTCACGAATTTTGATAAAAATTTCTCAGTCACTTATTTCAGGTATATTTGCATTTGTTCGTTGTTCTTATATACTCTAATGATGCCAAGAGGCGAAACCGGTCGGTTCTTATAGTTCGTAAATTAATAATTTAAATAAATATTGTTAAAACAAGTACAAGTGTGTATCGATATCACAAAAATATTAGTATAACACTGAGCGTGTAAGTACACTTTTCCATATGGAACTTGGAAAATACCTCTGACCACACTTTTTTAGACCGGCCGGCCACCTCTTGACTGCTTCGTTGGTCTTTAGCGCGACTGCTGTCGGACGCGGTTTTGAAACCCGGGTCGGGGCAAAATCAGTTATAAGTTTATCTGTTTTATGAAATTCTCAGTATAGCAGCCCAGAGTCAGAAAGTTGGAGATGTTTACTACCGTGCTTCGGGAAGCATATAAAACTGTAGGTCCTGAGCATTATCTCTTCCTTTCTAGTCCTGTCGGATTGCCGTCCCATCAGACTACGAGGTTCAAGTTATAGAGCGTGCGACTGTGCACGTGTGACTGTATACGCACACGTCAATCGTGTACTATAATCCCATCTTGCGCAGGAGTAGCCAACTCTCCGCTGTTTTTAGACACCTGGTACATGCGCTTCTTTTTATATTAAAAAAAACTTTATCAAGATTTTCTCCTCTACCATGGAGGCAGTTTCATCATCATTACATCCCTTCACAAGTCCACTGCTGAACATAGGCCTCCCTCAAGGAGTGCCACAAAGCACGGTCCTGAGCCACCTGCATCCATCGACTTCCTGCATGTCTTACCAGCTCGTCACGCCATCTAATGGGGGGTCGCCCTATACTTTGCCTATCGGCACGGCGCTGCCACTCGAGAACCTTTATTCCCCATTGGTTGTCAGTTCTTCAAGCTATATGGCCTCTGTAATAAGTTGTAGTGGCTAAGTAATGAGTTGCAGCGTTAGACCGCGGTCCCTAGCGCTGCAAATTACTGAGCCACTGCGCCATGAAGCTGTCTTTGCTTCTAACGTCTTGCCTTTAAATTTTTATTTGAATTTTTATGCACGTAAAAATCATAAAGTGGTCCGAGATGGCAGGTAAGGTAGACACATTTTTCTAATTAAAAAGTTATCATGGTTCCAGATTCTTGATTTTTGATCGCTTATAATACTTTTGAGTCTAAGTCTAAAGTTTAAACGTTTGGTGCACAAACTATCACAAACCACGCGGGGTTATCCCGACTTGCAGCAAAGCTTTTGATCCCTGCTACATTTCTTGGGAATCGACTCATCTTGAAAATACCATACGGTTGACTGTTGATTTATTACGGGATTATATATTAAGGCATACTAAGGCAAGGCATAGCTATGATTCGTCGCTAGTCAGTATATTATCTTAAAATACTTTTTCTGGCCGGTGTCGTATTTGAATAGGTAGTAATCCACCCGACGGCCTTTCCGCTCATCGGTATGTTTGTGTGTGCAGCTTCCATTAAAAAAAAATGCTTTCGGAGAGATAGTTTCTATTGCTGTTGATCAAATATCTAGTTCCCGCTAAGCTACGGTATGCTAGCTTATGGTAGACTATACGAAGTTAATTCATCAGTGTTCTCAACTAAGTGTTTTGGCTGCTTAAACATTTGCTTGAATGACTGCGGATGTGGGGATCGAAAAATGAAACTGAGACCGTGAATTTAATTTTTTAGGATCTAAAGCTTTCAAAGCTTCCCTGTCCTCCTTTCAATTCAGCGGTGTTGCTCGTGAATTAGCATATTCAGAATTAAGACTTTCTATTTTCCCACTAGTTCTTGATGCTAGGTCTCATTTCCTTACTTATTTTCGCCGCCAAGCATCAGTGCACGCAAAGGGTATATATGCTAGTATAATTACACACTGTGAGGGATTCCATGTTAGTCTTCAGAGGATACAATGTTTCTTTTGTCTTCTTTGTTTGAAGTTGTTGCAGGTGTCCAAGGGCTGCATCAGTCTCTTATATATCATCAGGTAGACCTTATGTACCTTACCAATATAAAAATGATTTGAAGTCCGTTAGTCTCGCTAAGACTCAAAAACGGCTCGACCGATTTTGATGAAATTTTTTATGTGAGTTTTACATTTGGACGCGGTAGGTGGCGCTGTGATCGAGAGCCAGAAATTATAACCTCTGCGAAGCCGAGGCGGGGATAGTCAGATCAATATACACTGCAAATAAAACTTACCGGCTGTAATTTATTATGCTTTTTCCATTGGTTTGGAAAAACTGCTGTTCTGGAGAAAATTAGCTAGGGTCTTTTTAAAATAACTTATAATGTATATTTTACACTTGTACAATTATAAATATAAAGAACATTTGGAACTAGCACGGTAGCCTTACACACTTTCCCACTGGTTATTTACCACTCATATTTTCTTTAATATCTATTATAATAACCCTTTCTACACAGCCAAAAATGCCTCTTGTCAACCCCCTATATTTTTCAATAGTGGGAAAATTATTAAAAATACCAAAGTCGGTAAAAGTCTTCCTTAAGACATGTTATAGTCTTTATTTAAAAGTATAAATATAGTAATTAAAAATGAATAAGACAATAAAATGTGTTCGAAACATTGTATGGAGATTATATTTTTAGAACTTTTAGTGCTAGTCATAGACTCATGGATAAATTAATACAAATGGGAAGCTACAGTGCATTATTAATATTTTAATCCAAAGTTTTTGGGTTGTTTAATTAAAAACAATTACTAAAATAATTGTCCAGAAGATGCAATGACACGCCTTGAACTTATCCTCCCCCCCTCCCCCATGCCATTAGTCACCCACCACTTAGCAGCCACTTTTCATTAGTTGCTATTTTGCCTGTTATTTTTATATAAAACTAACTTGAATACTAAGTCATGAGTGTGTTTTAGGTTTGATTACAAGCTTGTGCCTATATTGGTGCAAAAACACATTTTATTTTCAAGTTTAAATATAACTGGTTATAATATTTATAACTGAATAAAACAAGAATAGAACAATATCATTATGTATTGATTTTCAATAAATATAAGTTAAACAACAATTACCTAATGTAGTTTGTATTGTATAAATAACAAATCAAAGTCATTTTTATTATTAGAAGACAGTAGCAGAAATTTAATACACCTAAAAATAAACTTACAAATGAACACAATATTAGATTAATAATTTTATTTAGATCAAACAAGTAAATCAGAACCTTAAATATGTGTAAATAAATGTGTAAATGCAGTAATTGCTTGCTACAGAGAACAGACAGGGGGCAGCTGATAAGATATAAGCAGTGTTCATTCTGAGTAATGAAATGATAAACAAATATAATTATTTGATTAAGTCAGTTGTGACTTCAGCTTTGTCCTATCCACATTACTTGGCTCCGGAATAATTAACACAAATCAACTATAATTCACAAACAACTGACAAACTTTAATCTTATATCACAAGGTACCACAATCCAAACTAATTTACAAATAATTTTATAAATACATTTTGTTTTCTATGAAACAGCAACTGTTTTACATATTTTGAAA